AATAAATAAAAAACTGCATTTAATAAACAACTTTCGAATGGTATGCTTGCTTGGTAAGATAGGAAGAATTTTTTTCAATATGGTAGGTAGATCAAACCCCCTCCTGAAAAAAAATAAACAAATAAGTCACATGAGAAAATCAAGGTTTGTAGGTAATGGAAATATTTAATTCGTATTGATGACAGTATTTTTAATTAAATGAAAAACCTAATATTACAAGTTAAAATTGGTAAATATGATATAGAAATACTCACAAACAATATGTATGTTGATTCAAACAGTATTGTATGAACCATAAGAAATTAAACAATATCTCTTCTTAGAATTTAGGCAATGCATCATATACTACAATTTTAGTAGATGGGTTTGGTCTGAGAGTTGGAGAACTCATGTTGAACCGGCACTTCTGAACGGTCTGTCTTCAGTTGCTGTTTTTTTTTAATTTTTATTATTATTCAAATGTATACTACTGTATAGGATAACTCAAATAAAAAAACCATCAACAACCAAACCGAATGCTCTGACTGTTGGTTGGTTAATTTCCTTCAGTGTTTTTTTTGTTTTCACCAGAGAATGAGCAAAATGGCTGTATCTTTCTTGGTAGACAGACAAAATAAATTAACGGATTAAATCAAATATTTAACAACTGCTGAATTAACAATATTATTTATAAAATTGTTGAATATAATTTTTTCGAGGGGTGTCAGTGGACGCAACAGTTTAGGCCTTGACACAGTACTCATAACTGTAATGTATAGGTCACAGGTCCAAGCCAGCAGCATACAAATTTCAATTAATTATACTTTTTATCTCAATCAAGACTTTAGATGAAAAGTATAATTAATTGAAATTATTAAATAGGTCAATTATGACCGCTAAATGTATGAATTAATACTTACTACACCTACAAAGCAGACATGCCTCGTTTCAAACGTTTATAGACATTTTGTTCAATGTAAAATGATTTTCAACAAATTAAAAATGAACTTATTTTATTTTTTGTAATTTTCTAAAATTTTGTATTAGTGATAGAGGATTAACTTCATTTTTAATTAAAATAATTATCTGAAAATTGATAACACAATAAATAGAGATAAATATTGTGGCAAATTTTGAACATTAACAGTGACCAAATTTACTAGATGGTTCACAATGTTAAAATTAAATTTGTGAATTTTTCTTAACGTTTTATTTGAAGTTTTATTAATGTAATTGTTAAATTATTATATTAAAAAGTATGTATATATTTTTTTAGATCAATATTCAATTAAAACTGAACTGAGAATTTGTTTCTAGCATGGAAATGTTTCTATTCGCAGCTTTAACTTTGAAGAAGGAATTTTCTGTTAAAATTAAATTTGGAATAGGGGAAAGAGTAATGGAGACAATAATATATAATGACATCAACCAAACAATCTTTAATCTGCAATCTGGCAAGTTACATTAATTTTTTTTTTTAATGTCTTAACTTCAGTGCAGCCTTCAAACACGCAAACATTGACATCGCATTAACAGTCAGTTAACCAAATTTTTCTTAAAACTAATCATTTTTTCTTAAACATTAAAGACAGTTTGATATAATGGAGGAAATGAAAGGTAAAATGCTCATCAGCTAACCTTCCTTGTTTTTAAACTAAAATAAAAACAATCAGATAAAATTCTATAAATCATAGACATAAATAAAACTTACTAAATAGTGCAACATATACCTTTTTTTTATACCATCAAAAGCAACATATAAACAGTTTTGCAACTAGACCATAGTATAGTTAAAACAGATAAATACTATAATTTTATCGTTTGTCTCATAACACAAACAAAAAATGACACAGGTAATTTGGCACATTTTTTAAATTTTATACATATCATTTTCGCGCCATTCCAATAAAAATTTGGTGACCTTTTGGTGGCCATCGATAAAAATCTGTTATTATTGTCCAATTTATTATATTTTGAATATTTCTAAACAATTGGACAGTCTTAATTGTAGGCTTTATTACAATGTAACCAGAAAAAAACGCAAAAAAATTTACTTGTGTGAAAAACACAAAATTCTTCTTTCCTATGGTCTATGTTAGCTGATAGTAGATATCTGTTGTTAGTAAAATAGGAATTCAAAACCTGTTGCCCCATAAACAAACTGGAAAAAATGTACAACATAAAATAACTGGAACAACTTTTCAGACGTAAAATGAAAAAGAAACATAATACACAATTAACTTGAGCCAACTATGTACTAACATTAACACTAAAATACATTTATTTCTAGTTTTATAGTAGAATAATGATGATCTTGTAAAAAACGTTTATAGAGTTTAAAAAATTAAAGGAAAAAGAAACACGAAATAAAATTAAATAATGGGATGTGAACATATATTATAAAACCAACTGTAAATACTGAATTAATACTGTCGAAACCCGAATATTGTAATGATATCAAAGATTGATAGAAATCTTTATCTAGCATTTTTTAAAATTTAGTTTTAACTGTTATATTTGTACTTTGAGAAGGCAGCTTAAATACAGGCTTGACGTTTAAATGGAGAATGCACAATTCATTGTTGCTTTGTACTACTCATTTTTATTAAAAAGTATTTCAAAAATAATATTTTTAGAGTTTGTAATGCATAAAACCCAATCTGCAAAGCCCATTCAAAGCCATTTTCCTCAAGTTGATTTAGATTGTCTAATGAACAACATTTCTTTGTGCCTTCTTGTACTGATACGACCACCTCCTATTTATTTATATTTTTACAGTCTGTGTTCAAATTTATTGCATGCCTCCACCAGCTATATTACTCATATAGGCTCCAACTGACAAGAAAACTCCATCTAAACCTCAGCCTTTTTTTTTGTATATAATAAATACATATAAAATTATGGTCACTCTGTCAAAACAATTTGACATACTGAACGACCCCATTGTAACAACTTGGCCTCCTAACCTGAACGGTAAAAGCATTACATTCATACATCTATACATTTAAATGACGTTGTAACAATGAATAATAAAACAGTTAATGGCATTATGAATAAATATATATTTATCTGTATTTATATGCAGTCTGTGGATACCCGAGTTAAATTAAACCTGTTGCTGTAGGAAAGACTATTTTTCAGTTATGGTATAAACTGTATTGTGAGGAGTATTTGAGCAACTGGTACGGTATAAATATTTAAAAAATATATCATTTATTTATGGTTAGCAATCTATTAGTATTTATGACTATTATCATCTGAGGTTTATGGTTGTGTATCTGTAAAACAGTCTCTCCTTAGTTAGTTAACAATCTGTAGTAATAACAAGCATAATATAGTTCTCTACAATGCATACAAGTAGAAAAATAAAGAAATCTTCCTGGTCTATTGTTCAATATCTGTGACAATAAAATTGTCTTCAACATGTATAGTACACTACATAAAATATTAAAAAAATTCACCTATAGATTTCATATCCTAACATATTTTTGCCAAGTTGTTACACAGAATCGCTTACTATTAAAAAAACAAAAAAGAAACAAAAAACGCATTTAATAAAATAAATTATTTAGTTTTTTTTTATACAGTTACTTATTTTTAGTTACCTTTACCCCTGAATATGAAATATTGTTTATTTATAAATATGTTACTCTAATAATTTATGAATTTACATGATATGGAAAGGGATTTCAGAGGTTTTGGATTTTCTGATATCTTGGGTAATAACATCATAAATGGGAAAGAAGCTAATTTTGTTTTAAATTTAGGCGCAACATCAAAACAAGAGAAAGAAAGAGAAAAATTAAATAATTTGAAAGGCCGGCCGAATTATAAATACATAGCTAAAAATCAATTGGAATGATCAAATCAAACACTCAAATAACAAATATAACTAATTTACAAATATAAGTGATCACATATTATTAACCAAAAATCACATATAAATAGCTTCCTGCTAACCTTTTCATAATTATTAATTTCATAGCACGTAAGACAGAAGTATTTATATAATGTGCTTTTCATTCTTTCATATTTTTTCAATTGCACCACAAGCAATTATCAAAAGTTAGCAAGAATTTTTGATTCACTTAATGTCAAAAAAATCACATTTCTATTGTACGACATGCCAATATTTTATGCAGAATAGTAATAAAAACCTCCCTGTTTCAATTTTGCATTACAAATGACAAATATCAAATACAAAAAATGAACAAAAAACTAGAGAAAAAAAAGGAAAAATGGGGAAATTTGTTTCATGAAAATATAAAATATAAATCTAGATTTCTCAGTCATTTGTACTTCTTTGGTTTAAAAATTTTTAATTTTTGCCAGAGAAATAGAATGTACTCTAACTAGGGATAAATCTTAATTTTAACACAGCACACTTTTTCGAAAAAATAAGAAATAAAAAATTTCTTTTTTATTATTTTGCTGAGAAATGTAAATCATTCGCACATTGATGGCATGTTTAGGCCTGTGTTTCAGATAAAGTCATTGTTAATGATTTTAAGGTTTAGACCTTACCTCCATCAAGAACAAATTGTTTGCAAACAAATAATGCAATGTTGTTATTTAAACAGAATTCAACTTGAAAAATGTAAGATTTTTTCTTTAAATAACAATAATCACGAATAACAAACACTGATTAATTAGATTTTGAAAACTAGAGCTGGTTAATATATTTTTTGTTTGTTTAAAACAGAAGCTAATATTATAATAATAACGGCTTAATATAAATATATATATACATGTTGGCACATTTATATTTTATAAGATATGTTTTAATGAAAATATTTTTGTTATTTTTTTTTTTTTACATTTTGCCTAAATATTTCACACCTACATTTTCATACATCTATATATTTGACTTGGCCGTTTCCTTTTAAAAAAATATATGATACAAAGAAACTGTCTGCTGAACACAACTTAACCTTAATCTTTATGAATGTAATAAACAAAAAAACTAAAACTACTATTTAACATCACAATTTTTTTTAAAGAGGAATTAATTAAACAAAAAAGCAACATCAACCTCGATTAACATAAATAAAATTATGAAAGAAGCAATCAAATAAAACAGTTTTTTTTTCAAAATAGTCCTATGGACAGATATGTACAAATACCCCAATTCACATTATTATATTTTATTTTTTATTTTTTCTTAAGTAAAACCTAACACATCACAATTTAACAACCGCAAGTATATATTTGAAATAATATTGGCCAAGTCAGGGGGTTACAGGGAGGAGGGACGACATCCCGTCAATATTTTGTCTTTATTTGTACTTGTTTAAAGTTTTTACTTCCAATTTAAGTGATTGCCTTCTTAGAAAGATTGTGTAATATTTGCTAAGCTGAAAAAACATTCTTTTCCTTTAAAAAACTGAACTTTTTATTAATATATATATATGTAATTATTTATACGTTAAATTAAAAAAAAGGTCAATCTTTCTGAGAAGAGTTCACAATCTAGAGTCAATCGTATGAAAAACTACATGAAAATGTTAAGTATGATACGATAAAATAGAATTTACGTCCAAAAATGACAACAAATAGAGAACACCGTGAGCTTTTTACAACATTAAAACTACACCTCAACATTATTTAAATTTACCTCTAAACAGCATATTTAGTTCTACATGTATTTTGAAAACATCCCTTTGTCACACAACTCAAGCACAATTTATCCACATCGAGGAAAGTATTCCAGCTAAAATTTCATAACTGTAAACGGCTCATAGAAATAAATACGAAAACCCGTATGTTATTGTATATTTTGTATTTCATTTATTATTTATTTAAGATGAAAGAGTAATCGTTTAATTTTCCTAATTAAGGCAAATGGCATGGGAGAATTAATGAAAATGGAGTTGTAACATGAATGTCTAATCCGATTCATTATCTACAACACCTGTTCTACACCATAGCACATTGAATCCATTTTTTAAATACACATATATATTTATTTTCTTTATATTTTTCTATATTTTGTGAATCACCTAGATTTCTAAATTTCAATTTTTTATATTCTGGAAGAGCAGATATAATAATTTACAATTTATTTTTATTATTGGCTCATTTGTACTTCAGAAAATTAACCTAAAGAACAGACAAGAATAAATATTTCTTCTATATCAAAAATCCTCTTCCAAAACCTGAGGTAGACGGTTAAGCCACATTTAGAAAAGAGTTGTACTTTTAGGTGACTATGAAATATTCTTCATTCATAGAAATGGATGGAAGATTTCATTTTTTTGTTTTGCTTTTGTTATTATTTTACTGCCATTTTGTATTTGTAGCAGGTATGCCACATTTGCAGATTTGTAATATTCATTATTTAATTTTCATTTGTTTAGTTAAATTTTGCTAATATATATTTTTTTATATTAATACCATTAAGTGACTAGTTAACTGTGAATACAAAATTTAATAATTACATGCTTTACAAATTAATTTTGATTAAATCACAAAAACCAATTTACAAGTACATTCTAGCAATTTGAACTATGGAATGTTTATAATAAAGTGTGGAAAAATACCCAATGCCAAATATCAGACTTCTAATTTTGTTTCAACCAAATTCTAAACATTAGAAATATATATTCCTTGTTTCTGAAATTATTATAAAAAGAATAAATTTTGGAAATATCACTTTAGTGCCATTTTTGAGGTAAGTCAAAATTCAAGCTCTAAACAGAGTTAGCTTCAGACTTAAAAAGTATCAATATACTATATTATTATTTCTTTAATCAATTTTTTTATATATTTCAGGTACAATAAAATTGTGCCATAATTGATATTGAAAAGTTCATGTGCATGTTTTAGAATATTTCATAATATAAAAACTGGCACATGATAACGGCCTATGAAAAAAAATGCTGTGGTCCTAGCATGGTTTTAAATATATTTGTTAAACTTGTTAGAATCTAATACATATAAAAATAATTGCTTAAAGGGGCCCCTTAAAAGAGTTGTTGTTGCCTTACAGTTAAGGATTGTGAAATGGATGACATGCTCCTCTTGCGGAATAATGGGTGACTGGAGAGGCTGTGAGATGGGATGGAAAATTTGAGCATTTAACTTTTTGTTTCTGATTTCAAGATAGAATACACAGTCAACACACACACATATACAATTAAAGTGCGGGTAATTAAAATGAGAGTGAGGTTTACTTTAGGGCGGGATATACCCACCTTTGTTGCTGTGATACAGCTATGAAGTCAGACAAATTTCTTTGCATGCCTGACCCACCTTCGTTTCATAATGGAGGTTGTCCACCATATGCCGCAGTCGTCTTAAGGAGTCGTTTGAGCATCCCAGACGTGCCTCGGTGCTGAAGCGATTTGTGAGTTGTAAGGGAATTTTTTGTCCTATAGCGCCGATGGCAAAATTCACATACGTATAATGTGTCAGAACGTTCATGTTTGTCTTGAAAGTGACGTTTAAGTGAATAATAACAGGAAAATGTTCTACGGCAATATGGACAGTCTTGAGGTTCATTTATCCCTCCGCTGAGTGGTGGCGGCATGGCTAAAACTGTAAAACAAAATACTTTATGTAAATAAATGATCTCTTTATCTCAGTAAATAATTTAAGTGAACAGTTAAAATCATCAAAATGGTGTCTTATCAATATACAATCCATATTCAAAAAATATACTTTAAATTGTTATTATTAAATTATTAATCAATGCTTGAAAGTTAATATTTTTTAAATAATAATTTGATAATACTTTATTAAATTTTACTTATTCATGAATAATATTACAAACTTGACAGCACCAAAGAATGAACTTTTTAATTTTACAGTAAAAAGAGCTTCATTATACTCATTTTGGTGAAATACTGCATGCAACATGAGTTTGGTTTGTTCATAGTGTTTCAAGATCATAAATGAATCTTTTTTATTTTTATAAAATGAGTTTTTTTACTTAACTTACTAACATTGCAGACATTCTCAAGCTAAGAACTATCAATAAAACTTTTCTGATAGGAGAGGATTACCATTATCCCATTACTTGTATCAATTTAATTTTAACAATTATGACACCTAATAATTTAATTTTTAAAGTTTAAACACCATTATCAACATCAACATTTGGCATTTAAAAATGTACAATTTATTATAATTAACAACTGTTATTATATTTCTTAATGTTTAAGAATTAAAAATAAATAACTATAAAACCAAATGCTTCAGTTGAATTTCAGAGCTGTTATTGGTGCACGGCACAGAATGAAGAATCTTCTCCTTTCAGAAGGATAAAATAATAACAATAAAAAAGCAATAAAAATCATTAAAAAATAAAAGAAAAAAAAATCGCGTATTTCAGTACCTGTCGGGTTCTAAAATTTCACATCGGCAGGCGTATGGTGGTAGTAATCGGTGGGGGGGGGACGCTGAGTCTTGTGGTACGTGTAGATATGAGTCATGAGAGAATTACGCGAGCAGTAGACCCGCTCGCAAATCGCACAACGATATTCTTCATGTCGTGAAGCATGCTTGTCAGCAACATGTCGCTTGAGGCTGGCCTTAGAGCACAACACTTTACCACAAGCAACGCAAGTAAAGACTTTCCGCAAACCTATCCACGTTTAATAAAATAATTAGATTCTTCACTATTTATTTTTTAAATTTATTTTTTTTTAGAAAATTGTTAGCATTAAAAAAAGGTTTTTTTTTTCTGCTTATACATAAAAGAAAGCACACAGAATAATAAGTGGCCCAAGCATTGCTGGGAATTTATGTAGTGATATTTTTTTTTGTTAACCAACACCGATCCACCACCCAATTCTTTTTCCAGCCGTTACTCACAAATTTAAAGATACATGCTTCAGCTCAACTTGGACAGTTTAACTGTAAAATTTCATCTCTCTGATTCAAAGGAAACAATTAAGCAAAAAACCGGTTCAGATGGGGTAACGGCCGGCGAAACCTAATCGGATCTAGCACTGTCCATTGTCTACGTTTCTAACAATGATATAGAGAATAACCGATCTCATTTCCCGGCCGTTTGCAAGTTAAATTATTTATGTCAATACATTTGATCACGGAACATTATCTTTTTTCCTACTGTACTATTTTTTTTTAAATTTTGCAATTTGTTAAATTCAAAGTCAAATTCTGTAACTAAATAAAAGAAAATACAATACAACACCAATACTCCTGTGCCATGCTAACAATCGCTAATAATAAGAACAAAGGCTCAAAATTAAATAAAAAATAAAATAAAATAAAAGTCTGCAATGTAAGTAAGTTATCATGGAGCTCATTACCAGCTTCTTATGAGGTTTCTCTTGATGTAGACTATGGACAATGCCAGAAGAACTGAGTGATGGGTCTCATACAAATAATCTTTCTTTATACAAGTGGACATGCGAAGAAGTAAACAGCCTCAATTTTAACTCTTTAATCAACGATTATCCCGAATTGTTATTATTTACATTAAAATTCATATTAACTTATTATTTTTACAGTACCTTGTACCAAACACCAACAAATAAAAAACATTTAAGGGTAACAAAATTACAAACAGAGGGAAAACATCGATAAAGAAAAGCTAAAAACAGTACCAACCTATTTTATTTCATTCCAACTTCTTATATTCTGAAATGCTGCTTACTTCTTCTTCCAACTGTATCTTTTATAATTATATGTATATGTTTAACACAATGTAACGATGTGATACATTGTGTCAAATCATAATTTTGAGGAGTATTCTATCATCAGTTATATAAAAACTAGTTATTTTTTTTAATTTTCTGAAACTTCTGTGTTCTGTTTGCTGCTGGACTGTTTTTAGGTTGTCATAATTTTCCAATCCAGGAGACATCAAAAAAGATTTTCAATTCATATTGCAAATACATTGTTGATGTCTTTGGACGTCAATTTAATTAAAATAAACAACAAACATTACCAACACACCCAAGTTTAAGAAAATGTAAAGAAAGTACTAGAATGTTATGACATAGTGTGACTTTAAAAAAAAATAATGTGTGTAAAAATCGGGAAGAAATATTTACCATGTGAATATGCATGCTCAAGATTTCATTGAAAATAAGGGCTGGAGAGAAAAAAAAAATTGTAGGATTCAAGAATTCTAACAATGTGGCAGTGTTTTAAGGAGTTCATGCATTGAATCATTCAATAACAATAATGTACACTAAAGACAAAAGCTAAAAAACTATGAGCTTTGGGTTTTTGTTTGATTAGTTAACAAAGTACACTATTCAGATCGCATATTTTATTGATTTCAATCACTGTCTCCAGAAACAGATTCAGTTGAAATGACGTATATCATAATAAAATATATCTGTAAATTTAAATTATTTACATTTGAGTAGAATAATATATCTAGGTTTTAACTTCTTTTTTTTTAAAGATAAGTTTAATAGCTTTATAAGCTTCAATACCAATTTTAATTATCTGAGAATGAGTAAATAGGTACAAAAAAAAAAAAAAAATTAAAAATGGTAATATTCACCACCAGTTTAAATTGACAAGTAACAAGTATATAAATATCTCTAAAACTTTCTTAGAAAACACAGAAAATACAATTTGGAAACAAGAAACCTCTATTGTTTAAACATTGTTAAAAATTTGAATTAAATTTGGTAAAAGAAAAATTTATAACAATTTTTACAGGCATGTAAAACTATACAATAAACAACCCTATATTTGAGGGTTGTAAACATTTGTAGGATTTGAGAAATTCGGGAGCCATTGTGAAAGTTGTGGAACTTGAGGTCTCTTTTTATCATGGGGCCGGTTTTGCCGATGGTAAACACTTTTATGATTCCTGAGGCTACTTATCGTCCGATAGCGCTTGTGACAAATCTCACATACGAAACTAGGTTCATCAGACCGTTGGCTATTCACTGGTCGACCAGGCCTCTCTCGGTGCCAATAGCCTGCAACCAACAGGCCACCAACTTAGTATCCCGCAAAATTAAACAAAAATAAAATAAAAATAAAAATGAAAGAGAGTGCAAATTAGATTTGGTATTTTATATATTTGACCGGCTTTTCCTTTTTTATTTATTAATATTTTTTATTGCCCTCAACCAATTACACAGTAGCCTCATTAGTTCAATTTTCAATGCATTTTTTGAAATTTTTATGCCTACTCAGTATACAAATCTGGTTTGCACTAATGTCATTATGATGAACCCTTTATCCTAAATAAAATTGTTTTCCATGAAAGTATGAAATTGAAGCAAAGCAGGACTTTTGAGTCTATTTTCTAGTTTATGTTAATTAAAACAGCTTGCCCAAAAGAAAAAAAAAATTGTCACAGGCCTGGGAACACGCCTAGATTTCATAATTGAGTTAATTACTATTATGTGTAATTCAAAAATTCGATCCGCTTCATGGTGACAATGGAAGGAAATTAATGCTGTGTACTTGAAACCCAAAGCTTTCACTTAACCGATGATAGAATTGGAGATAGAAGGGGAAATAGGAGAAGGTGATTTCCTTAAAATGAACATGCTCACTTGTGAAACATAACCATTATTCAGTTCTATTTCAGCAAGCTATTACAGATATCTTTGTACATGATTTACCAAAACATTGGTTTACCCACCTTGCTGTGATGTTCCTGCCAAGCTGTCTGAACTCCCAAGTCCGTGAGGTTGATTGTTTAACCCTGAAAAGAAAATTTATCGTTTTTAATGCTTATCGATACACAATGTTTAAATTTGAAGCCTGGTCGAGTGATAGGTCAACTTATTAATAAAGTATTAGACCTACGAAGCTTAAAACCGAGTGAACTGTGTAAGCATCTCGATCCATTAAATCCCCCTCATCATATTATAATTACCCAACTTTTATTAGAAAGTAATGAACTATAAAAATATCATTTAATAAAAATGGATCTTTATTAGTTAATTAGGAGCTATTTTAGTACCTGTTTACTTTTGAGAAAGGTAAAAAAAGTCTTTACACAACATTATTAGCTAGTTACTAGATATTTTTAATTGCACCTAGATTCTGTCAGCAAATAAAATATATTTATTAATTTCTTTATTTTCAAAATGTCATTGCGATTGCCAAGTAGAATTCTATAGAAAATTGTTTAAAAAAAAGGTAAGAAACCATTGTTTCTTGCCNCTTTTTTTTAAATTATAAACTGTTGTATTTTAGTACACAGTTTTCCAATTTATTTGATTACTACATAATGTTATATTATAATCCATAATATAATAATAAATGTCAAATGTATGCATTTACTATTAGAATAATAATTTTAATTTACCAGCTAATGAATCTGCAGCTAAAGCCGCAGCCATACTAAAGTTGAACCCTGCTCCCGCAAATAGTTTGCTATCGAGGTAGTTGTGTGTACTCTGTATTGAGTCTTCGTGGTCTTGCATCATGTTTGTATGACCCTGAGGGGCTCCTCCGCCACCTCCCCCGCTTCCGCCACCGCTGATCGTCACGCCACCGCCCTCGCTCATCACCTCGCCTCCTGAGTCGTTGGAGTCTTCCCGCTCATTGTGAATGTGTGGTGTCAATTCTATCGGCTCCGGTTTAATGTCACTATTGATCGCCGGAGGAGACACGTCATGCTTGTCTCGTAAATTAGTGTTGTTATTCCCCGAGGTCGAAAAGTCCATTGGTGGTTCTTCCATGTCTTCCCTTGGCGATCGCTCGCCATGGTTGTTAGTCGGCTCGGTTTTGGGGCGCTTCATCGGCATTGCATTGTCCTATAAAATTTGAGAAATTTATATATAATCTTGTACCAAACACAACTTCCTGTGCCATCAAAATCTATGACAAATAAAATATTTATTTTATTTTATATTAATACATGTCTGGATATTGCCAATATTTATTGATGACATTTTTTAAACATTTTAAATTATGAAATTGTATTGGTAAGTAGACTATAAATTATATTTATATTACCTCTCACTGTACAAACTATTTTTTATTGGAAATCTTATGGTATTAGTAAGATGTTTAATTAATTATATTATATTTTTAAAGATAGTCATTTTCAATTCAAGTCAATCATTTTTTAAATAAAAACAATCACTTAGAATAAACAATCTATATTATTTATAGCTATTTTTATAATAAAGGGTTTTGAATAATGTGTCGTCCAAAATCTCTGATAAATAATTCAAAATTGTATTTGTAAAATTATTGGTTTTTCCACTTTTATTCTTTTTTACTCTAAAAGATGGAAAATAAATTTATTCGTCAAATAGTATAGATTGTTTATATTATTTTTTTTATTTTGTTTGTTGTGTTTTTATTTTGTTTTATTTTGATTGTCATATTATTTTTATATTATTTATTAACCATGGACACATTCTTGCTTCAGTGTGTTTGTAAGTATATAATTAATTCATACAAAATGGAAATTGTTTTAAAGCCCAGATTAATTTTGAATTGACCTAAGAAATTTAAAATTGCATAAAATGGACAACTTAAGCAATAATAATGTCAAGGAATGAAAAAAGTCAATTTTAACAAGTTGTTTTACTTGAATAAATGTACGTGCAAAATATATTAAAAAATCCATATAAATATATAAAATAAATTTATAGATTGAATTTTGCACTATTTTATGTTTAATTTATTATTATTTCAAGTTAGCTCCCAAAATTATGTTATGCAACTACTTTTTTTCAGACTTTATTGAAAGACTGTATATATAAGATATTAAAAAATAAATAAATAAATAACATAAAGGGCAAATATTCCTGTCACTATAGATAATCATTTAATGCTTAACTTTTAGAAAACTAAACATTACCTGGTGTTCCATAGATTCATTTGTCGAGTTTGGCCTTTCTCTATGTTTATGGACAGATTTCCTAGGGTGGTATGGCGATCCCCTGCCATCTGCCAAACCGCCTCCTCGGTCTAATCCCATGGAGACAGCCTGTCAAAAAGATAAGCATTTTTTTTTAAATTGCACAAATATCAAGGTAATCCATCTGACTCACCTCAGACTGCTGGGTGAGGCCACTGACTCGCAACACCTCCGCAGTTTTGAGAAACGACGAAAGAGACCTTTGCCTCACATTTACTTCACCGTGGTAAATGAACTCGACTAGTGCATGGAGATCTTCGAACATAACGTCTTGGAGAACTATGACTGGGTGTTTACAAGGTGTACTCTAAAAACCAAAGAAAAACTTTAACTACTGGGGGGGGGGAGAAATTAAATTGTTTTATTACCTTTAGGAGTTCACGAAAGTACGGGCTACATGCTGACAGGACAACCCTGTGAGCTTTCAAGCTTTTTCCGTCACACGCCAGTGTGACATCTACAAAGTCTTCATCGTCCCTCAAATTCTCAAAAGCCGAAGTTATACTAGACTGGTAATTGTTCCATCGCAGGCAAAAATGCTGCATATCACCCATTGCCCCTAAACATGTAAAACAAATAGCAATTTTAATAGACTGACTTTTATTTCTGAAGTGTAAACTGTAACGGGACGATGTGATAATAATCACAGGTCACCTTGCACAACATACAACTTATAGCGGTTTTTAAGCTATATTGTCACTTTCAATTATTAGGCGATAAAGTCTAATATATCACTATTGAGATTAAGGTTGTTTTTTTAGCATTTTTATTTTATCTAACACTGAGCTCTTCTGCTTTAGCGCGAGATAACACAAAGATAGAACTATATTCTAAATAAATATAGATTTCAAAACTTGTCCTTGCCCATGGTATTGTAAAAAGGCAATTGGAAGATATCTTAGAAAAACAAAACAAAAAAAATTACAACCAGACCCGATTATTCTGTCAAATAATCCTTTAATTGCGGGGGTTTATTATTCGACGATTAGGCACATCTTTATACGTTTTTATTACTCAACATATTATAAACGATGTGTTTTTCAGATAGTCTGAGAGTTGTTGGCGCTTAGAAAAAAAATTAAACATTAAAAAAATAAGTAATAAAAACACAGGACATCTTGTTGGAAATATTATGTTGTGTTTATGATTTTTTAACAATAAATTGAAGAGATTTTGAAATTAGTTTTGAGATCAGACAGAATGTAAACAGAACCACGCTGGGAACGTGGTTGATTTAAAACTCGGTGAAATCGCGCGTTAAAAAACCCGCGTAAAAATTAGAAGAGGGTGGAATTCAAATATTCCGACAGCGAGTTTTGCGGGTATGGGTCCACAAAGCACCCCCGGTTTTGTTTATGCCGGGTCAAAACAAAAAAGTGTCAAGCGTAAAGGAAAAGCATGCTGTAAAGGAAATGACAGGGTTTGAAACATTGATTTACCTCTCATTGAGACCGTAGATTCTTTCGACGATACTTGTTGATATGACTAGAGTAAAAAAATAAATAATACCTAATTTAAGATCACAGCATTTTCTTTCTTGGCCATTTTAGTCAGTTTTTGACAAGGGTATTGTATGTCATGCGCTGAACTCTCACGCACTAGTGTCGTGTGTAAAGTATAGCGGGAAATTACGAAGAGCCCGCTGGTAAGCCCCGGCTTTTCCAGGGTGGAAAAAGAGGTCCGACTGTTAGAGAGCGCGGTGCATATCTGACGGGGGTGAGCGGTGGTGTTAAAGTGACAAGATGGCGAAGGCCGGGGGTGTAACTTTTGGAAAACGGGGGTCTGTTGCCGGAAATAGGTGCGATATGACACAGAAACGATAACCGAGTACTGTGAGGACGGTGAAGAACTAAGCTCGCTCTCCGACTCTTCTCTCCTCCGGACTACAAAAAACCACTACGTCAGTGACGATGTCTAGCAATAAACTATATGGAAGGGAGAGTAAAATTGCATATTCGTATACTTTAATGAGACTGATTTCCACCCCTCAATTCGCACTACCCCCTCCCAGGATTCCGCCCCTACAAAAGAGAGAGGGAGAGAGAAAAAAATCATTAAATTCGTCCTCGCCCCGCAAACTCTAACACAGCGCATGCCCATGGTGAAAAATTTAATTCGTTTGAACCCACTACAGTAAATAGTGAACAATGTTATTCATACCCCTCCTTTTTAGAAAAAACGCCCCTTCCTGGTTCCTACTCCCAACGTAATTTGCGAGTTAAAATCAATACTGTTGGAATGAAAGTGTGCAAGGGAAAAACAGAACAGATTATAGACTCTCATATTCCACCTCGGCCTCCGGCATCGCCACCCACCATCATCATTCAGATATTATTATCATTTCCATAATTTCAATATTTCATTTTTTTTAATTATCAATTTACAACGATTGTCCAAATGTACAATAACAAATAACTGATTGTTACAATCACTAAATAGAAAAAAAAGCCACCCCCTGCCCTCATTAAATGCCGTTTATGAAAATGGTATTTTTATTTATGAAGGGGCAGGTAGAACCATGGGTCACGATTGATTTGAAATTACATTCTAATATAATCCTTAGTGCATATTTGATGGATGGAAACTGCACATCCTTAGTGTCAACAATACCACTTTTATCCTCACATTAGTTAATTAGGTCTGGTTTTGCTTTTTCACTCCTGTAGGATAATGCGGAATTTAAATGGTGAAAGATAAAAAGAAAGCATTAAACGCTGTTTGTAAAAATGGTTTGAAATTTTGAAGTAACAGGAAGAACCAAGGGTCACGATTGGTACGAAATGATTTCCTAGATAATCCTTAATGCAGTTTTGATGGATGGAAATTGCACATCCTTAGTATTAACGTAATCCATTTACGTTTAGTGGGCTAATTGACCATATTAATTATTTCACTTATTCTTTTTATGTAAGGTTTTGGTTGAGGTGAAAAAAACTATTATGTCACGAGCGTGATTCGAACCCACGACCTTCGGCTTAGTATTAACAATAGCACTTTTATCCTCACGTCCTTGATTAGGTCTGGTTTTGCTTTTTTCAGTCCTGTAGGGCAATGCGGAATTTAAGTGGTGAAGGATAGGAAAAGCATTAGACGCTGTTTGTGAAAATGGTATATTTATTTTTGAAGGAGCAGGAAAAACCAAGGGCCAAGATTGGCTCGAAATGATATACTTCGTAATACTTAATTTTATCTCAACCAATCCATACATAAAGATTAATTAATTGAAAAACGTTATTTGGTCAATCGGACCACGAACTCTAATGGATTTAATAATACTTAATGTTAATAATAACACGTTCATCCTTACATCTTCATTATGTTTGGTTCTTTTTTGCCACCTCGAATGGCAATGCGGATGTTTAAGTGGTAAAAGAGGAAAAAGATATTAAACGATATTTGTACAAATGGCATTTTTTATTTTTTGAAGGGGCAGAATCAACCACCAAGGGTCATAATTGCTTGAAACGATTTTGTTGATGGGATGGAATACGCACATCCTTAGCGTAATTGCATATGCACTTTCATCCTCTCATCCCTAGACTAAGTCGGTATTGCTTTTTTTGCTTTCCTGTAAAAAAGTTTTTTTATTTTTGACTGGCCAGAAACAGCCAAGGGCCACAATTGGCTCGAAACACGATCTACTTGTCGGGACAAAATTTTTACATCCTTTGTCGGGTTTTGCTGCCGTAGATGATATAAGGCTATGTCTGGTAATAGAGAAGAAAAAAGTCTACGCTTCTAAAAATGTATTTTTCTTTATGAATAGGCAAGAATACCAAGAGCCATCATAGGCCCGAAAAGATATTCTTAATGGGATGGAATCCGCACATCCTTTATGTTCTTTGATGTTAATCTCTAATTTTGCTAACGTACGTGATAATGTTGATGTTTTTGCGAATCGAAAAGCAGAAGAAACCCCATCCCATTTAACTCCGTTTGTACAAATCGTATTTTTGTTTTTGAAAGAGCATGAAAATCAAGGGCAGTGATTAACCCGAAACAATATTTTTGTCGGGATCGAATCCTCACATCCTTTGATTACGTCTGGTTTTGCTTATTGCTGCCCTTGAATGGTCATGCATATGTTTAAATGGTAAAAGATAAGAAACTTAGTGAGTAGTAAAGAGAAGAAATTAGTGTCTACGCTTGTAAAAATGTATTTTCATTTAGTAAGTGCCAAGGGGTACGATTCGCAAGAAACGATGTTTTTGGTGGGATGGAATCAAATGGAAATATACCAATAAATATATTATTATAAATATATAAATATATTATTATAAATATATTCAATCAAATGGAAATATACCATATAAATGGTATATTTCTTTATGAAGGGGCTGGAACAACCTAGGCCTATCATTGGCCCAAAACTATGTTCTTATGGGATGCAATCTGCACACCCTCCCATTAACAATACCCTTGATGGGATCGAATCCGCACATCCTTAGTGTTCCTTGATTGATCTCGCTTTTTGCTGTCATGCGTGATAATGAGGATGTTTTTAAAAATTGAAAAATAGATTCACCCCCTTCACATTAAACTCTGTTCGTACAAATGGTAATTTTATTTTTTAAGGCCAGAAACCACCAAGGGTCAAGTGATTCGAAACAATATTCCTTATAGGATGCAATCTGCAAAATCTCTTTCTTGTCTTACTATATAATCTTTTTTGTCGTCTGTATGGTTATGGTCATTTATAAATGCTAAAAAGGAAGAAACGTTAAACTCTGTTTGAACGAATGGTATTTTCCATTTTGAAGGGGCAGAAACGAAGGGAGCCAAGGGCTCGAAACCATATCTTGATGGGATGGAATCCGTACAACCTTACTGACTTCGGCTACTTCTGACCTTGTTTTTTTGCTGTCGACCAGCGTTGTAAATAATACATTTGTCGGGATTGTTCTTTATTTTTAATACGTACAGATAATATTTCACGATTTGCAAGTAACAAATATAAGGGTTGAGCAGATTAGATGTTCTCTAAAATCATTAAAGTATAAAATTTATAATTTATAAATGAAGAATATGCATCATGACATTCTCAAGTTCCTAAAATAGTTTTGTTTTTTGAAGAAGCAAGAAGCACAAAGGGTCATGATTGTCCCAAAACGATATTATTGTGGTTTGGAAGAGGCTCATGGCAACTGGTCGACTTTTGGTACGCCTTGTCTCGCTTTGTTATTTGATGTCATGCACGTGCCACAATTGTTATGAATTTGTACAAAGAGAACTTATTTAACTCCCAGATTGTACAGGCGTGGAACTATTTCCGATGGAATGAAACCCGCGCATTGTTATTTACAGTCTTTTGATATGTTGTTGTTTCTTTCATAAACAACTCATTTGGTACGAATTTTTAAGACCATGCGGATGTTTTTTATTAACGGAAAAAAGAGACTTATTAAAAATCTGTGTTTGTGTAAATAACATTTATTATTATTAACTTGTGGTGGGTAGGATCAAGAGACATGACCCGAAATTATATTCCAAAAGGAGTGGAATATATCTTTGTTTTGATTGCACATAACATATTTTATTAAAAAATTTAAAAACCTTTATAGATCACACAAAGTTTAAACAAGTTCAACGGCTAATCCTTGCTGTTCCGACAGAGACAAAATCCAAACATTTAATATTGTTCTAGCGTTAATAGCCGACAAAAACACATAAAAAAAATTGTAATACAATAAAATGTTCCACATTTCACAAATCGTAAATTACACAATTCAACAAATATTGAATTGGATAGATAGATAAACGACGCTCACATAATGGGCATTCGCGCAAGCCGATTACAGAATAGTATGTCTCCCGTGGATGTTACAGACATACAGACATTATCAGCGATGCTTGTTGAACGAACCGTAAAGTCATGACAGGTGTCTTGATCGTTACTGGCCGTCTTTCGATACGGCCGGTCTCGCTTTGTTGTCGTGCACGCTTCTGCCTCGCGCCATCAACAGGCGTGTGCCGTAAATCCGTGTAGAAGCGTACAAGGACAGAAACGACAAAAAAAGAGGGTCTTTGGGTGAAAGAATATAATCTGTGTATACCATACCAAAAATTCCACTAATATTTTTTTACAGACATTAATGATCAAATCATCAATTAAATATTGTTTAATTACCCCTATACTTCCTTTTTTTTAAATGTAGTTTTTCGCTCGTTTGAAGTAGTTTAGAAATGACAGTAATAAGTTTTTTCCCAACTATTGGGTTGTCCGGAAAATAATGCAGGATTTTGGTATTAAACAAAAAAAAAGAAACTAGTTACTTTAAAGCAATGTTCTTTAATCAAAATAATTTCCCATACTCTCAATACATTTCTCCCAACGTGTTGGTAACTTATTAATTCCGTCTGAGTAGAATTCAGAATTTTTAGAATTGATAAAGTCAATAAATGCATTTTCCAGTTCCGTTTGATTTTTGAATATTATGTGTTGTAAGTAGTGGTCCAGGTGTCTAAAAAAATGGTAGTCAGTAGGCGAGAGGTCCGGAGAGTAGGGTGGGTGAGGCAAAGTTTCATAGCCAAGCTCCAATAATTTTTGTGACGTTACACGTGACACATGTGGTCGAGCGTTGTCATGCAACAAAATGGGCCCTTTCCGATTGACCAAAGAGGGCTTCATTACTGCCAATTTCTGATGCATGGTATTAATTTGGTTACAGTATGATTCAGCATTGATGGTTTCGCCAGGATTTAAGAAGCTGTAGTGTATTAAACCAAATGAAGCCCACCATACCGTAACCATTACCTTTTTTTGATGAGTTGGGGGCTTTGGAAAATGTATTGGAGCTTCTCCTTTGTCGAGCCACTGTCCAGAACGTCTAGTGTTATCGTAGAGAATCCACTTTTCGTCACATGTAACAATTCTGGCCAGAAATGGGTCATTTTTGTTTCGACAAAGAAGTGATGCACAAACATCAAAGCGCTGATTTTTTTGGCGATCGTTTAATGAGTGTGGAACCC